TCTGTGTATTCCTTCCATATTCTCTTGATGCTTTCTGCATTATTCAATAATTTGCTCAGAGAATCTTTGAATAACGAAAGTCAAGGCTTTTTCTACAGTTCCCCCAGCTTGAGAATTGCTAAGCATGTTCTTCCTTTTTGATTTTCTGATTCCATATCTTTGGACATTTTGTTGTAATATTTGGCTTTATCTTCTTCAGCTGATCTTTGAAATGTTCTGTTCAACTATTGGACCTCCTCATTTCTTCCATTTGTTTTAGCATCTCTACACTTGAAAGCAAGTTTCAGTGTCTCTTCTCACATCCATTTTGACCTTTTACTTCTTTATTTTCTCCTCAATGATTTTTATTTATTTATTAGGGAACAGTAATTAATTAATAAACTTTTTCATATAAATAATATGGATGAATAGATGGATGGATGAATGGAAAGATATACAGATAAACAGGTATCACAATCTATTCTATGTTTTTTGAACCAACAACTTAAATATAAGTTGATTTGATATATGGTAGATTATTTTAAAGTCTTACCTTCAATTTCTCTCTTCAATTGATAATTTCTAACAGTAAAGTAAGGATAAGAAAACAAAATCGCTCCCATTCCAATTAAAATGGAGGAAATTGCAATCCATTTTGGTATGTTTCCTCTTCCTCCATAATATGATATAAATACTGCTAGCAGACAAGATGAAACATCATACGTCAGTGACAATGCCAAAGTCTCAGAGGTTTTCTGGTTATAGTCCTTTTCAAAATGATCAATGCTCAGATTTACAAGACCAAATATAATACCTAAAATGTAAAAAATAAAGGAAGCAATAATATGTGCGTCATTATAATCATACAAATCAACTTAATTTACACTGAATTAAATTTATTTTGCATTATTCTAAATGTTTATGAACTATAATTAAATAAGAATTCCTTCTCTAAAGCTATAATAATTCTTATCATTTTACCAGATGCCAAAGAGTCAATTATGTTTCATGATGATTCCATGTGTGTCATAGCAGAGTAGAACAGTTCTCCATAGAGTTTCCTATAGCTTTTTTTCAAAAAAGATAACTAGGCCTTTCTTCTAAGGTGTCTCCTTTGGGTGGATCCCAACTACTGACCTAACATTTAGTAGTCAAGCACTTACTAATTGTACCACTCAGGAACTCCTTCTTTGTTTTTGTTATTGCTAAGTGCTATTGAGTCAGTTCCAATTGATGGTGGTGGTGGTGGTTATGTGCTATGGAGTTAGTTTTTGACTCATAGTGATCCTGTAAAACATTTTATGAGGCTGTAAATTTTTGCTGGAGCAGAAAGCCCTATATTTTTCCTATGGAACAGCTGGCTGGCTCAAACTGCTGACCTTGTGTTTAGCAATCCATTGCTTACCCTACAGAGCCACAACTCTCCCCAAACCCATCTAATAGTCCATAATTTCATACAGTATTGGTTAATTTAATTTTTGAAGGTGTTTTACGTAACCACCTCCATGTGTAATTTAAGCACTCTGGAAGCATAGTAGGTTACAAGTTGGGCTACTAACCACAATGCCAGCAGTTCAAATCTACCAGTTACTCCCTGGGAGATAGATGGGGCTTTCTGTTCCCATTAAGATTTACAACATCAGAAATGTTATTCAGGGTCTCTATGAGTCTGAATAGACTCAGCAACACATATCCACCACTACCACCACCACCACCACCATGTGTAATTTAATGAATAATATTGATCGTTTTAAGCATATCAGTTCTGATCTCTATTTTAATGTATTATAAAAAATGAATAAAAATAAATACTGGGGAAAAAATGGCACCAAACCATTCCTCCCAAAGCCTTTTTTAATCAACTGGGTTCATTGCAATGGGCAAATAGAAATCAGACACCATATGCATAATTATGGGGTTTATTAGGGAAGACAACAGTTTTACAATTCATGATTAGGAATGCTCAGGGGACAGTTGTTCCAGTCAGGATAGCCTCTCTTTAGCCATGCCCACAGGCAGGCCTCTCTTTGCTCAACCAATGTCACAAATCTCTTTTTGATCTGCTAAAAAAATGTCCACAAGATTCCACCATCAGCCTCAGGCTGAAGGCACTTGGCTCTAGCTCTATGGGATAGCAAACCCTCAATTAATGTATGAAGGCACCTCCCCCTGTAATCAAGCCTCCTGCCTAAAGTCACTTAGATTTACTTGCTCAGTGAATTGGGAAACCCACCCCTCTGTCTTGCTGTGGCTCTTGGTTCTCCTGCTGTTGTTCCTCTTTTGTCACAGCTTTCTGTCCCTGGGTCAAGGAGGTTCAATGTGCAGGAATCTCAGTGTCCAAAGGATGTGTTCCCCTTCTGGCTCTTCTTTGATGATAGTGAGATCCCTCCCATTTTTGTTTATATATGTTAAGATTTTCAAGTTACGAGCTCCATGGGTCAGCAAACCTATCTCCCTTAAGTAATGCCTAAAGGCACTTCACCCTGCAAGCAAACCTCCTGCCTACAGTCACTCAGCTTTACTTGTTCTATGAACTGGGAAGCCCAACCCTCTCTGTCTCATGCTCTGGCTCTTTGTTCTGCTGCTGCTCCTCTGTTGTCACAACTTTCTGACCCTAGATCAAGGAGGTTCAATGTGTAGGAATCTCAGTGTCCAGAGGATGTTATGTTCAACTCCTGGGTCTTATTCTTTGATGGTAGTGATATTACCCCCATTCCTGCTTCTGAGATAGCTCATTTTATACAGGTTGAGTTCCAAGTCTTGACAATTAAAATTAACTCTCTTAACCACTGACAACTATGATCATATGATCCTATCAGCATCTTTCCCCATCTTCTCTTACCCAGATCCAACAGGGAAAAACATTGTTTGGTGGTAGTTACAAAGACTATGATTATAAGAAGCATTGAAAAATTCACTACAAATAACTCAATTAAAAATTGGGCACAGCAGTGAAATTGGCTTCTTGCAGAGCCTCTGTAATATATGTATAGGACCTTTGGTGGAATCCTGAGCCTCCATCCAGAACCTTCTGAGATGGGGTATTCCCACTTGAAAGGACAAGCAGCCCTGTCTGGAGCAGCTAGTGGAACAAGAGATACTTCTTGAAAGAAAGACCAGCAGGAAAAACCCAAAACAAAAATGGCAGTCTGATTGGCTACTACAAGAACAAGCAATTGTTCGCTGGAAAGACATCAAGGCAAGCAATCAAGTCCCTTCAGGACAAACCCTTTTCCGAGACTGAAACTCAAAGGGAATACATGAGCAGGCATGTAATTTGTTGGTGACAATGTTGGTCTACTGGTGAGTGGAAGTGGGGGAAGGGCAGCAATGAAGATATGGGTTGAGTTCAATAGTGTTCCATAGACTCCTGTCGACCTTGAGATGAGACAGAGAAGAGGAAGGGCTGGTTGGTCCAAAGTTTGGTAAGACCTGGGAACTCCTGGGCCCATGGACAAGGACATAGCCACAGAGGGCTAGATCTGATAATGAAGCATCCAGTTGATATGAAGTTAAGGGAGACTCACAAGAATGCCCAAACTTGAAGATAGTACCCATTTGACCTAGCTTCAATGGCTTGATGATCAGAACTTGACTAGAGGAAAATGGAAAAAAAAAAAAAAATTGATAAAGGAAACAAATGTAAATTGCTACTGTTTCATGGACTTGACCTATACTTATGGATGTAGTAGCTCAAAATACCAACTGAGAGGGAAGGAATCTTCACATCATGTATCAATCCTATCCCTTCTGTACACAGGGTTAATAGGGATGGGCAATGTAGGCATTGGCTACCTAAAATGGGGGGTGGGGCTGATATAAAGGCATGAAGTGACTGGCTTATAAATTTTCAAGAGGGAGATTAGTTTCAGAGTGTGCAGGGGAAACTAGACTTTCCACCGAATAGTTTTCATCTTGTCTACATGGGTCTTGTGAAAGAAAATGAGATTCTTATGATTCAATACTGAGTAATTGTTATCATGACTAATTGCGATTGTCACAACTATAAAGGTAGAAATTTTGTAACAAAAATGGGGGAGTAGCAGTCTTACAGTTCAGGACCAGAGGACCCTAGCATCATAAAGGGAGAAGAGCACAAGCAGAATGTGGGATTTTATCCAGAGAATCAGCGACACCAGAGATGGAGGCAGAGATGATGACATGGAGAGATAGAGCAGTTGAGGACTCTTTCTGATGGAAAGAGAAAGCCTGTGTGTTGGTGGCCAGGAGCCCAGGAGGCAGGCTTGCAGAATGTTCCCTTTGGTTGTTTACATGATTACATATTCCAGAGTGTTTTTGTGTACATCAAAAAAAAAAAAAAACCTAAAGGGAATAAAAGCAAATACTGTTGAATGATGATCCATGGAGGTGATTGTAATCATTGCAATTAAATAAAATACAATAGGATAAATGCAAAACTGATAATTCCCCATGTAAACTATCACTCAATTCACAGTAAAAACTCTTAAAAAAAAAAAAAATGTACAAAAGACATGATAGACACTTTACCAAGGAAGATATTCAGGCAGCCAACAAACATGAATAAATGTTTACCATCATTAGCTATTGTTGTTGTTGTTGTTGTTAGGAACCTTGCAGTTCAAACTGACCTTGTGGTCCAGCACATTATCCTGCATCACCCACACCAGGACTCTTCATTAGCCATTATTGTTGCTGTTAGGTGCCATTGAATTGATTTCTAACAACCCATAGTGAACCTGTATAGGGATTCTGAGAAACAGTTGGTGAGCTTGGACCACCAACATTGTGGTCCAAACTGACCCTGCAGTCCAAGGTATTATCCCACTGCACCACAGCAGGGCAGATACAAATCAAAACAACAATAAGATATCATCTCTATCAGCATTAACTGCAAAGTTTTTAAAAACCTGAAAACAACAAATGCTGGCCATAGGACCTTCCTATATTGTGGTGGGACTATAAAATGGTTAAACCACTCTAGAAAATGGTATGGTACTTCCTCAGAAAGTTGGAAATAGAAGCACCTTAATACTTAGTAATCTCTCTACTAGGTACATATCCATAAGAAATATGAGTCAGAACAATAGTAGATATATATATACACTAATATTAATCACAACACTATTCACAATAGCAAAAAGATGGAGACAGTCTAAGTGCCCATCAATGGAAGAAAGGATAGATGAACTTTGATACATACACAATAGAATACTATGCAACCTTGAAGAATAATGATGAATCTGCAAAACAATTGATAACGTGGATGGACATGGAGGACATTATGCTGAGTGAAATTTGAAAATAATCAGTAACAAAAAGGACAGATATTGTATGAGACCATTATTGTAAAATATTAAGATTTTTGTTTTTTTTACTAAAGGAAATATACCTTGATGGTTACTATGTGTTGGAGGGAATGGAGAGTAATTCACTGACCAGAGTAGACACTTGATAGCTTTGTTGATGGGGAAGGCAATTTACAAGGAGGGAGAAAGCAACACACAAAAAGGAGAAGCAGATGAACAAATGAATTTGGGGAAGGCTTAGAGAGGTATGTTTAGGCTAAATGGAATAGAGGTAAATAGTGATTTATGCACAACCTTGGAACAACAGTGTTCTGTGAGCAGATACATGGATCGAGACATAGGCTGAATGGATAAAGGAGGTTGGACAATGTATATGTGTTTGACTGTCTTGTGAATAATGGTTTCTCTATTGGAAATTGATTACAGAAAACTTGTACCTATAATTGACTGGATTTTCTAAAATGGGAGTTAGAATTTTCCCAGGGAAATAGGCTTCTTGTTAAGCCTTTGTAGTGTATGGGGCCTTAGGTGGAACCCTGAGCACTACCCAAAACCTTCTCAGTTGGGATATTCCCACTTGAAAAGACATGCAGACCAACCCAAAAGAGCTAGGAGAACAGAAGAGTCTTATTGAAAAAAGACCTACAGAAAAACGAAGCAGCGTGTTTGGCTGTTTGAGTATCAAGAAAGCAGTGTGCTTTGGAAACATCAAGGCAGGAAAATCAACCAATCAAGGAAAACCCCCTTCTAGTGCTTAACATTAAAGGGAACCTGTGAGCAGTCTAGTAAACTCACTGGTGATCACATGGGTCTACTTGTGAATGGAAATTGTAGAAATGCAACAATGAAGATATGGGCTGAGTCTGGCAATGTTCCATTGACACCCATTGATCTTGAGATGAGCGAGAGAAGAGGTAAAGCTAGGTGGTCTGAAGTTGAAAATGTGTGAACTCCTGAGCATTGACCTAGCCCATGGGGACTAGGACTGAGAGTGAAGGGCCCAGCTTGTCTGAGGTGCAGGGATTCCCAAATTTGCAACTAGTACCCATTTGACCTAGCTGGGATGGTTAGCTGACCAGAAATTGACCAGATGAAGATAAAGATGTCTGATACTGTGAGCAAGTGTAAATTGCTACATTTTGATGAACTGGACTGTTGCTTATGGATGCAGTTGCTCAAAATTCCAACCAGCATGGAAAAATTCATTGTATCAAGGAATAGGTTTGTTTCCTCAGTGTACTGGGTTGATTTATTGTTATTGTTAAGTGCTGTCGAGTGGGTTCCGACCCATAGCGACCCTAAACAAGGTTTCCGAGGATGTAAATCTTTACGGGAACAGAAAACCTCATCTTTCTCCCGCGAAGCAGCTGGTAGTTTCGAACTGCTGAGCTTGCAGTTCGCAGCCCGATTTATAACCACTACTGGGTTGATGTTGTTGTTGTTAAGTACTGTCGAGTCGGTTCCGACCCATAGCGACCCTGAACAGGGTTTCCGAGGCTGTACATCTTTATGGGAGCAAAAAGCCTCATCTTTCTCCTGCGGAGCAGCTGGAAGTTTCTAACTGCTGACCTTGCAGTTCACAGCACGATTCGTAACGACTACGCTACCAGAGCTCCTTACTGGGTTGATAGGCGCAGGCAATTTAGATAATGGCTATCAAAATGGCTATCCACTGAAAATCATTGATTTTGTGTCCATTGTGACTCATAGTAATCTTAACAAGACAAAGTACTTGTCTTGTTAAGAACTGCCCCATAGGTTTTCCAAGGCTGTAAATATTTACAGAAGTAGACTAATACATCTTTCCCTCAAGGAATGTCTGGTAGGTCAAACCACCAGTCTTTTGGTTAGCAGCCATACGATTAACCACTGTGCCACGAGGGCTCCTCGGTTAAGTGCGTTAATGCTTATATTTTTGCCACATCTTTTAAACAGTATATCATCAGGTCTCCTACATGAAGGTTACAGCCTTTAAAGCCTTGTGCAGCATTTCTATGGTTGTTTTGAGTCAGAATCAATTTGATGGTGCACAACAACAAAGTTATTCTTAATAGTCTATCATTATTCCCAGTGTGGTATTTAAAAGCCTTCATAATGTGGCAAAAATTGGTCTTGCCTTCTTTTTTTTTTTTTAAGGTTTTTATTGTGGATTGAGTGGAAGTTTACAGGGCAGATTATCAGTTTTACATTCAACAAATCATACACCTTATTTCATTACAATGATTATAATCCCCTCCATGTATCATCAGTTAACAGTATTTCTCTCTATTCAATTTAGCTGTCTTTCTCTCTATATATATATATGTTTTTAAACACTCAGGCATATATAATAATTTACACCACACCAAAGGGCACATTCTGCAAGTCTGCTTCTTGGCCGCAGCGCTTAGTCCTTCTCTTTCCATGAATCTACAGTCCTCAGCTGCTCCTTCTCTCCATGTCCTCATCTCTGCCTCCATCTCTGGTGTTGCTGCTTCTCTAGATAAGATCTTGCATTCAGCTTGTGCTCTTCTCCCTTGATGATCCTAGGGTCCTTTGTTTCTTGACTGTAAGATTAACTGCTCCCCTGTTTTTGTTACAAAACTTATATCTTTACAATTGTGACAGTCACAGTTAGTCATGATAACAATTACTCACTATTGAATCATAAGAATCTTATCCCTATCTCTTTTAATCAGACTCATCTAGAGAAGATGAAAACTATTTAGTGGGGACCCTTTCTTCCCCCCCCACACTCTTAAGCTAAACTCCCCCTTGTGTCTTTATCACCCTGTCATTTTAGGTAGCCAATGTCTATTGCCCATCCCTATTGACCCTGTGGTCTTGCCTTCTTGTCTTATTCATTTATATATTCAATTAATAGTTATTGTCCTCTCTACCTTAGTCACTATGTTGTTAAGTGCCATAGAGTCAATTCCGACCCATAGCAACCCTGTATAGGGTTTCTAAGGAGTAGCTGGTGAGCTTAAACCACCAACCTTGCAGTTCAAATGATTTTGCAGTCTGATGCATTAGCCCACAGCGCCACACCAGGTCTTTCCTTAGTCACTATACTAGATGAGCTATTAATGAATAATGCTCACAGTCTTGAGTCAATATCTTTTGAAATATGAAAGGAGAGAGAAGTGAACAGAGAAAGAGGCAGCTACTGCTACCAAGAAAAAGAGCCTGGAGTGGAGAGCATCTTTGGATCTGGGGTCCCTACACTATGAAACTCCTAAATCTAGGGGGAGATTGAGACCAAGATGTGTGGAAATCTCTAAGGAATACTGAGTCTACAGATGCTGAAAGAAGCCAAGGACCTTTCCCCAGAGCAGACCTTTCCGAGAGTTAGCACTCGGAACTTGGATTTTTAAAGCCTCCTAAACTGTGAGAGAATACATTTCTGGGTGTTAAAGCCATTCACTTGTGGCATTTCTGTTAGAGCAGCTTTAGATAACTAATGCACACACATAGAGAGGCACTCTTACTGTCAGGAGCTCTATTAGTGCTGAAGGATAAGCACTGGTCTGTGAACCACAAGTTCAGCAATTCAAATCCACCAGTCACTCAGTGGGAGAAAAATGAGGCTTTCTGCTCCCATAAGGATTTACAGTTTTAAAAAACACTATGAGTCATAATCAATAAGATGACAGTACTTTTGTTGTTGTTGTTAATTACTATCAAATCAGTTCTGAATCACGGGAACCCTGTACAGGGGTTTGCAAGGAGCAGCTGGTGGGTTTGAACTATGGACCTTGTAGTTCACAGTCCAGTGCTGATCCTACAGAGCCACACCAGGAGTTGTTTTGGTACTCCCTTATTGTGCTTATATGCAGCTATAACCCAGGCAAATTTATTGTCATTCATTATTCTGAAATGAGCCTTTCCTGTATCTGAATGTTTAATTATCAAACCGCCCATGAATACATTTTCTCAATCAATATTCTTTAACCACATCCCTGGCTATCAGTACTGACCATATTTACCAAGGCATAGTTCAAACGCTGTTTCCTTTAAAAAACATCTTTCGTCATCTCATGACAAATAAATTAATGATTATTTTTTCCTTTGGTGGCTCTTGTCACATACAGCCTTCTATCGCACTTATTTAGGCAAAACATTTTCATGCAAAAACTGACCGATTCTGATAAATTTCAATATCATCAGTGTAAAGAGTCTAGCAAAGAGACTAGGTATAATGGGAATGGTAATGGTTGTGACCAACTAGATAGAAAATGCAAACATTGTCTAAATGCATTCAAATTCAAGTCCTTAGAACTGTGTGTTTTTGTTGTTAAGTGTCCTTGAGTGGGTTCTTACTCATAGCAATCCTGTATAAGATTGCCAAGGAGTGGTTGGTGGGTTTTGAACCACGAACTTCATGGTTATCAGCCCAATGCTTATCATACAGCACTACACTAGGATTCCAAACCATGTATGCAAGGGTAAATACCTTGAATTTGGGATTCTGTGATAGATTATTTGAAGACCTGCCTCAACCCCTCAGTTCACAGTTAAGGAAATGAGACCCAATCAAAAATGATTTAGCCTGGCTTTCAAAGTTGAAGAAAGAGGCATACTATTTTTAACTTTATTTTTATCTTCAAGTAATTTAATATATCATTTCTCAGAACTGGTGCTTAATCAACATTACATGACTCAATCTACACCTTTTATTCAGCTGTCTATCTAGATATCAGATCCCCACTCCCCACAATGTGTGGGGTAGATTGTGCCAATCAGGTTCCTGACTAGGCCAGGCAATGACAGAAGCCCAAACCCAAGGCTCCAGACTTCAACATGCTTTGATTCCAAACATAGGTGGAAAACTATATTAAAGAGCACAATTTCATTGTAGGCCAGGACACCACACACATGTCTTCCACACACTCTTCCCCTTTCTCCTTCCCAGGCATTAGCAATTTCAGAGTTGACCCAATCTTGGCCCAGTCTCTGCCCTCACCAAAATGACCCTAACACCTTAAGCTTACCTTGAGACACGAGCAGGATGCAGTAGAAAATCATGAAGCAGTGGACGTTGTTACAACGCTGACAAAAGGAGATAACTATACAACCTAAGGAGCAGGGCCCCTCCTTATTTTCATCGTTTTCCTTCTGCATCTTAAAAATACACCCTGAGGCTTTAGTTTTTGGTAGACCTCTAAAACGGTGGAAGGTGATCAGAGACGACAGTAAGACATCCAGGGGCTTTATCTCCCGTGGAAGTTTCTTCTTGGCCTTCCTCGTGTTCTGTGATTTTTTGGTCTTGATTTTGGTGTCCTTGGTGACCAGAACTTACTTGGTCTCCCGCTGCTCAGAGTGAAGGTCCACTCTCACCGTGACGCTCAGTGGAGCCCCTGAGTGTCCCCACCCTAGGCTCAGTGCCATCTAAGGCCTGACCAACTGAAAAGTCTGGCGTGGACCAATGGGGACTTAGTGGCCAGAAGGGGGCGCCTGCAGCATAAGCCTCCAGTGGGAACGTTTTTCTCCAGGCGGGAGACAAAAGTGCCGGTACTGAACTGACAGTTGCCCTAGAACCAAAGGACAAAGATGTTCTCCTTGCCTCAGGCTAAAGATGGGGAGCAAAAACTAGAACGTTATTCTGGTAACTGCTAACACAGATGGAAAGTCCCCAGAAGTAGAAAATCGCTCGAACTTTTATATCTTGCTTTTAAGTGCTGTCGAGTCCTTTATGATTCAGAGCGACGGGTTTCCAAATACCAGCTGGTGGGTTTGAACTGCCGACCTTGGCACTCAAACTGACCTCGCGGTCCAGTGCATTATCCTGCAGCACCACACCAGAACTCCCTTTAATACCTGTTGTTGCTAACTGCCGTCGAGTCGGGTCCGACCCGTAGCGATCCTACATAGGGTTTCCGAGGAGTGGCTGGTGAGCTTGAACAGCTGACCTGTGGTTCAAACCGAATTTATCGTCTGGCGCATTAACCCACAGAGCCACACCAGGACTAGGAAACAAGCAAACAGAGTTGTAAAGATGAATCATTGTACCTATCTCCCAATTAACTCAGTTATTAATGAAACATTAATTTCTTTTCCTATAAATCTTTATTGTTTAGTGTGTATTTCACACATGTATTCCATCTCAGGAGTCCTGGTGTGGTAATGTAAGATAAGGACTGCACTATTAACCACAATGTTGGAGTTTAAAACCCACCAGCTGCTATTCAGAAAATCTATTTGTGTTATTGTTAAGGACCTTCGAGTTGGTTCTGACTCCTAGCAAGCCTGTTCTGGTTTCTGAGAGTAGCCTGTGGGTTTGAACAGTCAATATTGCAGCTAGCAGTCTATTAGCTACCATGCCAGGACTCCCAGAAGTTCTATATGGAATGTCTATGAGTCTGAACCCACACCACTGCTCTTAACAATAACTATAATCGCATCTCAATTTGGACTACTCACACTTCAAACGTTCAATATCCATATGTAACTGATAGCAACCACAATGAATAACACAATTACAGAGTTCCCTTTAAAGGACTAAAATTTTTGGTATGACAGGGCTAGAATTCTCTTAAAAGCAGAATTAATGACAATTGTCTTTAATTGTTGTCGTTAGAAGACATGAAGTCTGTTTGAATAATAGCACCAGAAACAAATTCACAAGACTCAAAATGCAACCTTGTGTACATTCCACCTGAATTTAGGACAGATTTGATGGATTAGACACTTATGACCTAAGATGATAAGAGTTGTGAGAAGACACCAAAAATATCATACACAAAGAAAGCAAAAGGTCATTAAAAAGACAGGAAAGAAAGAAAAGACCAAGATGGCTGTCAGAAGAGACTCTGAAACTTGTTCTTGAGTATAGAGAAGCTAAAGTGAAAGGAAGAAATGAGGAAGTAAAAGACCTGAACAGAAGATTTCAAAGGGCAGCTCGAAAAGACAAAGTCAAGTAAAAGGAAATGTGCAAACACTTGAAATTAAAAAAGGCAAAATATTCACCAAATATTCAAGCTGAAAGAATTGAAGAAAAAAAAAATCTGAAGTCTCTGGGTGCAGTATACACTAGACTGCAAGGTCCAGTAGAACTGCAAGATCTGCAGTTCAAACACACAAGTCACTCTTTGGAAACCCTACACAAAGTCGCTATGTACTCAAACTGACTCAACTGCACTTAACAACAACAGCAAATGGGCAAAATATTGACTGACAGGAAGCATCAAAAGAAGATGAAAGGAATACACAGTCTTTTTGCCAAAAAATACTTAGTAGATGTTCAACTATTTTAAGAGGCAGCATATGATGAAGGAAGATTCCAAACTGCACTGCACTGAAAGCATTTTCAAAACACAAGGGACCAGGAATTGTTGGAATACCAACTGAAATGTTTCACAAACTGATTCAATGCGGCAGGTGCTTACTTGTCTATTCCAAGAATTGTGGAAGACAGCTACCTGGTCATTTGGAAGAAACCCATGTTTGATCCCATTCCAAAGAAAGGTGACTCAGTGGAATACAGAAATCATCTAACAGTATTAATTTATTACATGTGAGTAAAATTTTGATGAAGATAATGCAGAAGTGGATGATGTAGTATATATCAACAGGAGCCAGAAATTTAAGGCAGATTCAGAAGAGGACATGGAATTAAGGATGTCATTGCTAACCTCAGATGGATCCTGGCTGAAAGTAGCGAATAGTAGAAAGATGTTAGTTCCACTTTATTGACTATCCAAAGGAATCTGACTATGTAGTTCATAACAACCTATGGATAGTATTGCAAAGAATGAATATTCCAGAATATTTGATTGTGCTCATGAGGAACCTGTACATAGACTAAGATGTCGTTGGAACAGAACAAGTGTACACTGAATGGTTCAAAATCAGGAAAGGTGTGTGCCAAGGTTATATCCTTTCACCATATTTATTCAATTTGTATGCTGAGCAAAAAAAACTCCAAGAAACTGGATTATATGAAGAAGAATATAGCATCTGGCTTCTATATTGGATATTAGATGTTGATTGTGGATCCAAGTAAAATGAAATCCCTAACAACTTCAATCTTATCTCCTTCATTACTGTCTGATGCGGGATGTTGCTTATTGGCCAGTTGTGAGAGTTTTTCTTCTTTATGTTAAAGTGTAATCCATATCGAAGGTTGTGCTCTTTAATATTCATCATTAAATGCTTCGAGTCCTCTTGTTTTCAGCAAGCAAGATTGTATCATCTGCATATCACAAGTTGCTAATGAGCCTTCTAATCCTGATGTTGTATTCTTCTTCTTCATATATTCCAGTTTCTCAGATTATTTTCTCAGCATACTGATTGAATAAGAATGGTGAAAGGATACAACACTAATGCACACCTTACCTGAATTTAAACTACATAGTAAAGTTTTATTTCTATTCAGACAACTATCTCTTGGTCTATGTAAGGTTCCACATGAACAAAACTGAGCCTTCTAGAATTCCCATTCTTCAGTGTTATCCATAATTTGTTATAATCCACAAAATGGAATGGTTTTTCATATTCAATAAAACACAGGTAAATATCTTTCTAGTATTCTCTGCTTTCAAGAAAGAGCTATCTGATATCAGCAGTTATATCATTCCATGTCCACTTACTAATTTGGTTTTAATTTCTGGTCATTTACTGTCAGTACACTGCTGCAATCATTTTTAATCATCTTCAGCAAAATTTTACTGGTGTGTGATATTAATGATATTGTTCAATAACTTCCACATTATGGTAGATCACCTTTCTTTAGGATTGGCATGAATATGGATCTCTTCCAGTCAGTAGCTCTCTTCCAAATTTCTGAAGCATCAACATCATTGCATCGATTTGTTACAACATTTCAATTGTATTGAATCAATTCCTGGAGCCTTTATTTTCACAAATGTCTTTAGTGCAGCTTGGATTTCATCTTTCAATACCA